CTCCATGCCGGGGCTGCCTTGACTGGGGTGGCTCAGGACTTCATGGCCGCCATGACAACCATGGGGCTGTCTCAAGGTGTCATCGGCATGATGCATGAGAAGGGCCATACTTTGGACCTGGTTTTCTCAATGGGACTGGAAGATGGTGGTTTGGATGTGGAGGGGCTGGTTTGACCCCATTGTCATGGTCAGACCACTTCCTGGTCAAGTTTAGTCTATTAGCTTCTTCTCTCCTCTGCAAGGGTGGGGGATCTATTAAGATGATCTGCCCTCGGAGACTAATGGATCCAGATGGTCTCCTGAATGCTCTGGGGGATTATCTGTCTGATATGGTTGGCGCTCCTGTCAAAGCTCAGGTCTCCCTATGGAATAGGGAGATGACCTAAGCGGTTCACATGATTGCATCTAAGCACCCTCTCTCTGCACGCAGAGCCCAGACAGCTCCTTGGCATACTTCTGAACTGCGGGCGGTGAAGCGAGAGGGGAGACGGCTGGAGTGCAGGTGGAGGAAATCCCACTGGGAGTCCGATTTAACACGACTTAGAGCCCATTATTGGGCTTATTTCATGGCAATACGGCTGGCGAAACGGCAATATTTTTCCAGCCGTATTGCTTCCTCAGAATGTCGTCCAGCAGAGCTGTTTTCAGTGGACTGGGATCTTCTTCAACCGGGAAATCTGGTGGAGGTCCCGGACTGCTCATCAGCTCGCTGTGATGAGTTTGCCATTCATTTTGAAGGAAAAATCACTCAGATTCGCAGTGGGTTGAACTACAACATTACTGCAGAATCAGAGAATGTGTCCAGTGTGCGGTGCTTAGGTCAAATATTAATGGATGAGTTTCAATTGTTGAGACTGGAGGACGTGGTCAGGGTGCTTGGATCTGTCCGTTCTACCACCACTCTGCTCGACCCTTGCCCATCTTGGCTAATTGGAAGATCTGCCAGGGGGGTTCGCACTTGGGTCCAGGAGCCGTGAACGCCTCTTTGAGAGAGAGTGTGGTCCCTACCGCCTTGAAAGAGGCAGTAATTCGGCCACTCCTTAAAAAGCCTAACCTGGACCCAAGCCTGGTGGTTAACTACCAACCAGTGGCAAACCTCCCTTATTTGGGCAAAGTGATGGAGCGGGTTGTGGCCGGGCAACTCCAGGGGCTGCTGAATGAAACGGATTTTCTGGATCCATTTCAATTGGGTTTCAGGCTGGGTTTTGGTACGGAGACTGCCTTGGTCGCCCTGTATGATGACTTTTGCCGGGAGAGAGACAGGGGCAGTGTGATCAACAGGTCCCTGTTGATACTCCTGGACCTCTCAGTGGCTTTCAACACCATCAACCATGGTGTCCTTCTGGATAGTCTGGCTGGGTTGGGAGTTGGGGGCACCACTTTACAGTGGTTCCACTCCTTCCTAGCTGACAGCATCCAGAGGGTGGTGCTTGGGGACAGTTGCTCTGTCCCCATGGCGTTTATGTCAGGGGGTTCCTCAGGGCTTGATACTGTCCCCCATGCTGTTTAACATCTACATGAAACTGCTGGGAGAGGTCATCGGGAGGTTTGGGCTGAGGAGTCAGCAATATGCTGACGATTCTC